ATCAAAACTGGGCAGAAAAAGACGAAACACCGTCAAAGAAACACTTCCGCTACAACATCAAACATGTAAAGTGCTAAATCCCTCTTTCAAACCAGCTCCTCTTCCCGGGATGAATGCAACTACTATTTGCCTACTAGTTAGCGCATTAATCGTCAACGCACATGCTTGTCAAAAAGGCTACACAAGGCACGCTGCGAACCTCGTCTGTACAGATCCAGACAGCTGTCACTACGAGTACAGTAATGAGTTCCTGTTCAATAAGGTAATATCAGAGGTGTGCATTGAAATTATGCACGAAAATGTAACCATAGGTATGGTAAAGCTCACTAAAAGACCGACACAGTTCACTTGTTCCAAAGTCCTGCACACCTTCACCAGAGATACCAAAATTCGCATCTTCCATGCAGAAAGATGTGCGCAAGCAGGATCGTGCATTCATGACAAGTGTCATACTATGCACGCAAACGAAACCGTCAAGGAACTGCGGAAGGCCTACAAATTTCCAGGATATTCTGGCTGCATCGACATTTGCGGAGGAATACCCTGCGGATGCTTGCTTCCTCTACCAGCATGTCAGTTTTATCGAGTCGCCCATAGACCAATCTCCGATCAGGTATATGAAGTGGTATCCTGTTTAGAATGGAAGCCCAATGTGCATATACGCATGGAATACACAAAGCTGGGAAAAACATCTAGGAGCACTCGCTTGATCCAGCCATATGTTACGGAAAAGATCAATAATTTCAACGTAACGGTCATTTCCATTCAGAAGTTATCATTACCACTGCTAAACAAGCGTTTCGCCATCTCTGGAAGCGAGTCATTTGTCTTACCAGACAAATTTCAAATTCCAGTGGAATGCAGCAGTGAGATGCAAGCTAGACACAACTTCTCATCATGCAGTACAAGTATGCGCTGTCATTGCGACAACTCCGTTCACCGATTTCTGTGTCCGGATGACTCGATCAATGCCCTCAGAAACCGTTCATCGGCGAAACTACCATTGGAAACTCCAGTTTCTACAATAACACGATTAGGTAACGACGTGATAGCACTTTCAGATGAAAGTGAATTCACCTTGTCAATCGCCTCCTCAATATTAGCTGAATCAGCAGAAGAAATATTTCTAATGGAATGCGAAGTCCGTCTCAGCAATGTTACTGGATGTTATAGCTGTTTACATGGCGCTATTGTCATTGCATCTTGTCAGTCGTCATTTGAGAGAACAGTGACGGTCTCATGTGAAACGCAGAATTTCAATATCCAATGCTCTTCAAACAATGATTCTACCGCTGTTAACCTAGCGCTTGAACGAGCAATGATCAGTGAAAAATGTAATGTACAATGTCACCACGGACCAGCATCCATTACTCTTCAAGGTACTCTTCATTATCACATAACAGCTGATCCAGTGTCGTTCGATGAAGATTCCCACGCTGTACCCTTGCACCATCAATGGTTCGCCGATATCAGCGTGCCAGACGTCGCGCCGATCATAGAGATCATAAAACAGCACTGGAAAATCAGTTTAGCGGCTCTCACGTCGGTAGCGTTTCTCACGCTTGCGACCTACCTAGCAGGCCCAATAGCTTTAGTGTACGCTGCCAAAATTATGATCTACATCATCATAGGCATATTAAAAATTTTAACGGCTCCATTAGTGTTCTGCTGGTCCCATTTAGTATGTAAGAGATCAGCTGATAACACAAACTGATTTTATGTGCATATCTGGGTAATGCATATAATAACTAGTCATGTACACTATCAATCGAGCACTTAGCACCGGCCCCATCAACTACTCCGCACACCACATAACCTCCAGGTAGCAATCTGCTATATCAAGAGTCAATAAAGCTACTTCAAAGATTTAGAGTAGCATACGTTCAACTTAGGCTATTTGGCGTGGGCGGATCCCAGATAGGCTTGAAAATCTGTATAAAAGTAGACGGACAACACCATCACATTACCAACATGTCCTTCTCGCCAGATATGCAAGCAGCTATCGATGAGTTGGATAGATGCGACGTTTCCACGCTCCTCCACCACCTCGTCCCCGAGATGCAAGCAGCCAAGCAAGATCGACTCGCTCTCCAGCAACTACTCCAAGCCCTCGATCTAAAAATGCAGACAATTCTCGACCAACAAGCAGTAATCCTGGAGAGGACCACGCCTAAATCGAGCTGTATTTTCTGCCCGGTTGCGGAGAACCGGGATAGCCACTTCACCGGAAGGTGCGTACGCTATCCCGATCCCGTTTCGAAAACTTCGCAAGCAACGAAACTAGGACTGTGCCTTCAATGCCTGAAGCCAGTCCATGACGACGTCTGCGCAGTAAAGTGCAGTAGTTGTGGTCTCGGCCACAACTACTTGCTTTGCTCGCAGAACAGAGGACAGCAACATCACAGAGGACCAGCCACGAAACGACCACATCGCCACTGAAGACCGACGACATCAACGACCAGCCGCAAATGGCACGCATTCCACCCCACGCCACAAGCCGAACGATCTCAATCATCTTCACCAACGCACCTACGACATCAATTGAGACCAGTAGATTTCGCACATTATATGCCATTCTATCATATTCGTTTGTATCTATTTTATCCTTGTCGGGCGGAGTATCATCGATGGATCGATGATTCCCCTTATCAGCCCTAATACCCATGCCAGTTGACGTCACGCTGAGGGGGCGGGCTATGTCTGCCATGTGTCTCCCTGTGAGGTCACTGGCACTCACGATCTGACTTTGACCACCGCAGGTCACGATTCGCACATTCTCGCATACCGTACTCTAATAAACACTGAACCACCATCTATTTCTCTTATTCACCGTATACCATCACATTCCGACCCCAACATCGGTCGAAGAGTCTCCACCGCGTACAAAATGACCGATATGTAAATAGATGCGGAGTTGGAGATCAGAATGCTAAGAAGCACTTGAGGGGAAATAACTCCCAAGACCATTCAAATCTGAATCAATCTAATAACTCAGCTGCTTTTGAGAGAGAATATTTGTTATTTCGTAATTCTTGAGGTTTTCCGTAGAAGGAATTCCGAATCGAAATTTGGAAAAATCAGTCTCAAGTGAAATTTGTGACCAGTTGGAAGCCACTTTCATTCTGCCGAATGCGAGCTCCTTGCGACTTGATGAATCTTAACTTTTGCCCTTCCGTTCGTTGCCGGTGACAGATCTGTTCGGGAACTGCAAATATTTGTTGATCGACTGGAACTTTGCCAAAGTTTACAAGAATACGAAAAATGTGACAACGCTCATCACGATTCCTAATTTTCTATGGTTATTGTCCATGGAATATTATCTGATAACTCGTAAGATGTGAAGCTTTACCTTTCAATATTGAATCCATGTGTTGTGATATCAAACTGACCTCTGCACTGGTAACATTTTCAGCGATCACTTCTCACTACAAGGTCGCGTAGATAACGAATTATCATTACTTGGCAAATAGCACACTTGCTGTTCGTAGTGCTGCAACTTGTTCTTGAATAAGTTCTTGTTTCTGCAAACAATTTTTGTATTTTGTGCGCTTCTGTCAGAAGTTTTCTTCTGCTCATTCAAGTTGCTTAATTTTTGGCTGGAGTTTGTGATAGCAATACCTTCTCAAATCTCGTCCTTTATGTTATTTTTTGACGGGACTAGTAACTGTAAATCTCAAAGATGAAAGCTGCTCGCTCGCCGAGACCCGCTCGGTTTCCCGCATATATTAGATATAGAAAAGATATTAAATCAAGACACATGGCTTTCACCATGTTTGCAATAAAACTTGGTCTTCAAGAGTGATTTGTATGGAGGAGTGAAAGGAAGCATTATTTGGAATTCCAGTGGCTATTGCAGTGATTTATTGGGGATTTACGAATATCGGAAAGTCGTAAAAATGCGCCTTTCACCTATTTATCTCGCTAAACTATCAAAGAAAAAATACGTCTGACTTCTGTATCCATGAGATCCCTTATCTCGATCAAGTCAGTGAATGAGAAGAGTTACAATATTATATCTCAATTTTGCTGCCATAAACATGTTTGTTTAGGCACAATAGAAATTCTCTTCAAGCCTGTATGAAAGGAATCAAATTCAAAGAATATTTTCAAATAATCATATATGAATTTATTTGCTATATGAATGAACCCGATGACAATTTTGCAACTTGCAAAGTTGTCAACCTTCCAGCCTACACTTCAAACTTGACGAAGATACAATTTTATATATTTAACGACCAGTTTCTGAGGACCTTCGTGCAATTTGCAGACATTTGCCTTCAAAATGTTCTATTATGATTTGCCTTCATATAATATTCTCATACCTTTGATATGAAATTGTAAATGACAAAACACTGGTGCTTGATTTTTTTTTGAAAACTTTCTCAAAATTCTTTGGCTATCACTTCGAATGTTAAATTATGGATAAACAAGAAAAAATTAGAGAAATAAATAAATAAAAATTGTTAGTATCATGGTCCAGGGCTCAGCACAGATGGCTTGTAAGCAAGCTGGACATCGTTTTTGGGACAAAAAGCAAGGGGTTGTCGTTTTCAAGGCCGAAAAGACGAAAATTGCGAAGTTCTTTTAGCCGGCTTTTTGATGATTTTTTTTACGTTTGGGGTTTAGGGTCAAAGGGGTTTCGGTCGTGCCGGGCCCTGAAATGGCCACATATGTAGATTGCGTTCAGTACTGCCTTCTATTCCTTATTAAGCTCCACTATTTCTTTTATGCTTATAGTTTTCTACTACACAAACTTTCATTATAAGATTACGTATGTTTATGCTGAGCAAAACAGAGTCGTTTATTTTCTCTACATTTGGGCTGGGGTGTGCAAAAGCACCCTTATCTACTGATAATATCGTTTTTTGAAATCCTCCCAAATTCACGCTTTTCGCAAGCATTTGTATTGCATTCTTCTGTAGAAAATAAGCTCAGTTGTAGATCTCAAAGTGTGATTTCGATGAATACATTTTATACAAACAATCCCATTTTTTTGCAGAATGCTGCTCATCTTACATACATTACTATTCTACGGTATTCAAGCACAGACTCTCAGCCTCCAACCAGGTGATGTTCAAGGATTTGAATACACAACGAAAAATGGCGACATCGCTGAAGTATTTTTGAACATACCATATGCTGCACCTCCAGTCGGTGAATTGAGATTTGAGGTAACAAAGATGTTCACAGAGATTTTTTTTACTCAATCTCCTATAAAGTTTTCCTATACAGAAGCCATCTCCTCCAATTCCATGGAAGGGTATTCGTAATGGGACTGCTTTTGGGGCCACATGTCATCCACATGCTTATCAAGCCGCACTTCAACCGCCACCCAACGAAGACTGCTTGACGCTGAATATTATTCGACCAAAGAAGGAGGTGGGTCTGCCACTTTTTTGGAATGTAGGCGGGGGGGGGGGTAGAAGAATTTTGGACTGAGCGCATTGAGTGATCCGTGCTTTGAGAATTTGAATAAGTTTCTTAATGGTCGTACAATTTTGATTTTCAGAAAACGAGCCAACGCTTTTTTACAAGACTAATATCAGCATAATTTCTATAGACCGCAAAATCCATAGGAATAATTCCTAATAGTCATTTGTCACAGGCAAAATCATTTGCAGAATTTTATAGCCTGTGAATGTAAAGGCACATTTCACAACTCCTCTAGAAGAATCAGCGGGAACTACAAATGTCCGAAAATACAAGTTCTGCATAATTGATGAGTGGAAGCGTTGTTCCAAATCCTCAGTAAATCGCGGAAAAATACTGGAATCGAACATTTTATTTGGTAAAACAACTTCGGTGTTTTAGGCTCCAGAAAAAGGTTTTCCCATCCTTGTTTGGGTGCATGGTGGTGGCTACGAAATTGGATCGGCTAGTCTTTATGGCTATAAAGGATTTGCTGATATATACATACCAGATGATATCGTTGTTGTTACCATACAGTATCGCGTTGGAGTATACGGTAAGAATTATATTGGCAAGAGTAGTTTATTATTCTAGCAGTAACCTGTTACCCTAGGGTTTTTCTCCACTGGTGATTCACGTATACCTGGTAATCTTGGATTATTTGATATGGCAGCAGCTTTCAAGTTAAGTAATGCTGTTAGTCACCATTATAGCTTCATTTTTTATTTATTTTTAGTTTATATACGATAATGCAAAGAACTTTGGCGGTGATCGCTCACGCATTACAGCTTGGGGTTTGAGCGCAGGAGGTAGCGCTGTTGGACAGTTGGCCCTTAGTCCCATTACAAGAGGTAAGGAAAATCAAAAAAACATTTCCCAGAAAGTGGAACAAGGTGTGGGAGCGGTCCGCGGAACGCTTTGTCGAGTTTTTTTTTTCAGCTCAATTCTGTCTTGAAATATCATTACTCTAAATAAGTAGTAGGTAAATGTAAACGTATGCAATAATTTTTAAAATTTTTCTCCACATCATCTATCGGAGAAAGAGGGGGAAAGGATTGAGGGAAAAATGGAATAATTTAGTAATTCACGGGTCTGCCTACGTCCTGTTTTCCTCTACAACAATAGTCACCCCTCTTTTGCTTGAAAAAGAGGTAGTTGTTAAATATATATTTGGAGTTCTTTGTATATAATTTCTTGGCAGCAAAGCTGTTCAAAAAGAAAGCTGTAGTTTAGACTATATCGCTGGTTCCATTGAAATGTCTGGATCTCCTTGGGCTTACTGGGCTTTGGGATCTGCGGTAGCGAACGATTCGCTCAAACTTGCTGAGGTAATAGGCGAATTTCAATATAACATAAAATCAGAAAAACTTCTTAAACCATCTACTGAAGGAACTAGGATGTGGCGAAGATGATCTGAAAACTTGCATGAAAGAAGCAACCATTGAGGAGATCTACAACGCTGTTCAGAATGTAGTAAGTCCTCGACTATAGACCTCGATTGTTGCAAAAACTGTAAATGCTTCATTACATGGCTATACGAAAGATGGACTGGGCTGTATCAAATGGGGACCCGTCATCGACGGGGAATTTTTGCAACATCCAGACGAGATGACAATCACTGCTCCTCCAAAACCGTCAATAGTCGGGGTCTCAAACAAGGATGCGTCATTCTTCAGTGAGTATAAACAACAACAAGTATTTTAAACGTAGAGCATAGCATCTGTTCAGGAACAGGTCGAAAAAAAAACTTCACCTGTAAGTAATGAGCGTTCAAAAATTGTGTAGGACGTAATGAACGCTTAGAGATTGTGCAAAACTGCGTTTTCGGTGAAGTAAAGAGACTAGCCATCTTCACAGTGTTACCCTTTTTTAAGAAGATATAAAAGAATTACTTAACAAAGCAATGTTACTATAACAATGATTCAATATTTTCATTATTGAGGTAGCTGATATGTAATTTTCAGCCATAAAAGGCCTTTCGCCCTATATTCACAAATTTGGCGTAAAACCAGAGGATTTTCGCAAATTCGACAGGAACAAGCTGATACAGACACTTGAGGTGAGTTCAGTGCAATCATTTCTATAAGGATTCAAAAATAATTACAATTAACTAGAGCTAAGCTACCTCTTTTAGAAACTTATCGGCAATTATTATAAAAATTACACAGCCTCTGTGCTAGAAGAGCTCATCAAATATTACGTGGAGCGTGATGAGGAGCACAGTTATGAATTTTACCTTGATCGTTATACCGAGGTACGGCTTTTTATCTCTTCCTGTAACAATTTTCTAAATTTTTTCTTGTATTTTTCTGAAATATTCGTCTAGTTCATGAGCGATGTTCTTCTCAACGTGGCGTCAGTCGACGGTATCTTAGCCCGTCGAAAAGCAGGTTGGAAAATGTATGCATACTCTTTTGACCACTATAATGATGCCATATGGAACTCAGATGTCCCGGAAAGGTTGCGAGGTAACTCGCCATCATAACCGTACCATCATATTCTGTCCCATGCTTTATTTCAGGTTCACCGCATGTCAACGAGTATCCGTATATTTTTGGTCTTTTCATCTTGGGTAATTTTGAGATGGGCGAAAAGGAGCAAATTGTCGCTGATGTAATTCAACAATCTTTTATTAATTTTGTGAAATCCGGGTAAGTAATTTTTTTCTATTTATTTTCCATTTGAGATTAGAAGAATTGCTCTGCCCTCTCATCATTCGCTACAAATTTCTGGGCCAATCGCTTGAAATCTGAAAATTTTCAGGAACCCCTCGAACAGCCACACAACGTGGCACGATGCTGGAACAGAAAATGATATTAGATACTTGTCCATCTCTCCGAATCCGCAAATGAAAAGAAATTTTTACCATGGTTCGCTACCGTCTTTTGGTTTTTATTAGGTTGATGCATAATTCTTGCACCAAAATTTTAAAAATTCTGTTACTTCATCCAGCTGCGATAAAATCTTCTGATTCGATACATAGTAGAGAGAGCAAATCTTGCGCTTTCTGACGTGCTCGAGCCAAAAGCCTTGAGGGCATATGGCAACGATACAAGGTGAATAAGAGAAATACCCGAAAAGTGATTTTTCGATTTTTAGTTACTAAAATTGCTAAACGTCTACTAGAATTTGAATTTATCTTTGATCTAAGTTTTATGGCATGCTCTTTTTAACTGAGAGAAGTTGGTAGTGATGTCTCTGCGTATGTTTACGAATTTCGATTTTTTGAAATGACTGATCGATTTTGTTTCAAAATGATATTCTAAAATACTATAAAATACTACTTTTGATGTACATAACATGGAGCAGAACATCTAAGTTGAATAGTTTGTTTAAGCATTTTTAAAATAATTTTTTTGTATTTTTTGGTGCAAGAATTGTGCATCGACCTAATATAATTTTGTCACTCAAGCAAAGTTTATAGGTGCCTCCACTTTCTGGAACAAAATGAGAGACTACGGTTTCGATTTGATAAAGCTGTTGCCGTCACGTAAGGAAGGAAACCGATTACAGGACGAGTTATGACTAGGCCTAGATTCTTGGAAGGAATTGCTGTTTATTTTACAGTGTCTTATTTGACTGAGGCCATGTAAGGCCATAGTTGTGCTCCATCTTGTGGTTCCCGTACATTCATCATATCTGGGTTCTTGCCCATGGAGTTCATGCAGCTTTCTTACGTAGGGGTCTGGGTTACGAACTTTTTGATGTATTGGTCTCGCTATAGGCTCCACCTTTAGAAATCATCGGAATCAATTTTTGGAAGCGAAAATGCTAGGTGACCGTGGCGCATGTTTGCTTACCCATTCATAACTTAATAAGGTAGAGAACCCAGGAATTTAGTGATTGGCTGCTTTATTACGCAGGTAAAATTTTCCTTGCTAGACAACCGGAAGCTCTTGGAATTGAAAGGCTTTTCTGGTTTTGCTGATCATCCCTCTCTTATTGCTAGAGCTGCCATTGGCTGGTTGGCCACTCGCGCCATGCCCACTGAGCACTTTCACATCTTCATAGACAAACTTTTTGCATTTGAAGAATTTACTGTATTTGAACTGCAAATTTCAGAAATGCGATCTGATTATGAATTAGCTACAAATTAGACATGGTAGAGCAATTTGAATTTGTGATATTCCCTAGAAAACGCAAAAATACCTTCGGATTTAAAAACCGAAGGTATTTTTGCGTTTTCTAGGGAATATCACAAATTCAAATTGCTCTACCATGTCTAATTTGTAGCTAATTCATAATCAGATCGCACTGAAATTTGCTGCTTATCAGTGAAAATCTAATGTTATCCGTTGTTATTTGCAAATTGCAGTGTGCCATTTTCAATAAAAAGATACGTGTTTCTCTCCATTTAAAAGTTTACAGTCACTGGAGTGAGCCATTCTGTTTATTCCAATAGCAAATCGGTGTGTTGCATCTCATTGCGATTCTCTCTACACTGATATGAATGTGCAAATTTACAAAATTATTCATGAATGTTATGCCCCTGTTCAAGGTGAAATTTAATTTTACACTGCAAATATTCGAAATAATAGCATCTTGAAACTAGAAGCAGAAGCGAGTAATGAGGTTGATTAAGAAGATGAAAATTACGAATAAGGCGGCTTTTACACGTGGCGAACAGTAGGTGGGTATCAGAAAGCTGGAAGTGTTTTAAATGAAGCACATTTTTGATAAAAAAAAGAATGTCAAGGGAGCCAGTTATTAGATCAATGCCTTTCAAAGCGTATCAATTGTTGAAGGGGAAGTTGAGGTTGTTAACAATACCGCTTATACCCTTTGCCCTTTGACCAACCTTACAATACCAGAATAGTCTTCGATGTGAAGGCGAAAACGGCTAACAAACTTTGGAGAGATCCGCATTCATTCAAATCCTATCTACCGTAACTCTACAATAACAAGCTTCTTGCAAATCAAATGTGATTTTGGTAATCAGCATGTCGGAACAACCTTTATGGACAAATTTTCCAGAGAAGTGGCGTCATTGATATTTTCTCGTTCTTCGCGCTCGCTTATCGCAAGTTTTGATTGAAACATTGATGAGCTTCGATTTACCTGAAATCTTCGGCCATAGAGGTTTTTGGGCCCATTGTTCATTGGCCAATCTAGTCATTTCGCACTGAAGAGTATTAGAGTAAAGTTACTGAGAAAGATGTAGTCAAACACCTGATCCAAACCTCTCTTTACAGCTCTCGCAGGGATATGAGCTTATGATTTCTCGCTCTCATGAATTTTATCCAAAATTCAAAGACTGTGGGTTTTACGGAATTCTACCAAGTGCGCATGTGCAACACAAATAGAATGATATCACGAGAAAAATTTGAAGAGATTTGCCGGATACACAGTCTTCCAATTTTGGACAGAATTTATGAGAACGCGATATAAGCTCATAACCTGGTGGACTGTTGCAGAAAGAGGTCTGGTTCAAGCAATCCGATAGCGCTGCTCACAGAGACTTTAACCTAGAATTATTAGGTTGTTTCATAAGTTTGTAAAGTTTTCATTCTTGTTCTTACTTCATTGAGGAGCGTTGATTTGCGGCAAGATGGCATCATTGTTAAGACCTGATCATGATCTTCAAAATAAACTGACTACTTTCGATGAAGAGCTGACATGCATTGATTCCTTTGCCTCAGAGAAGAATTTCTTAAAAGACAAAAAGAAGCATCCGCATCTGCTCAATTTTTTTCATAAGAAAATGCATTTTGCGCAGATTTTTGGCGATTCCAGAGTGTGACGTTTTCTTGTAAATATGATACAAAAAAATTGGATTGCTTTGAAAACAAAGAGTTTGCAGGGTGCCCCGTGAACAGGACCTTTCGCAGGCTGTGCAAGAGCTTCTGGCTTGAAAATTACTAGGTAAAAACAAGACGGTCCCTATACCGTACGCAACTTGACTGCACATCTAAACGGTCCTCGCTGCAGGAAAGGCCTAATAAACAAATCCAGTGAGCTTTTTTGCGCGACAAAACTTGACCCCTACGACAACCGTCGTCGTCATAGCTGTCTTGCAAGACTTGACCGGGAGATGCATTAGCATCCAATGTACTCGTGAGATCTCGCTCTACTATATTATCATCTGTTCCAGTCTACCACATAGCAATGGCGTCCGTTTTAATTTTGAAGACGATCTCAGGCGCTGATTAGATGACACTCGGACCAGACCACCTGAGTTTTGAAAAGACGGAAATGAAAAATTAATGGTATGGTGGCGGAATGTTGCGCGCAACACGAAACAAGCATTGCTGAATGAATTTTGCTAAAATTTTGTCATTTCGTTAATTTATTGAAACTCTACGAACTTATGAAACGACCTAATATATGCAAGCGAATTCACCAACGATGGGCAAAATGGGCTGGCAAAGGTGCCACCATGCCAGGTTTGGCTGCATCTTTCTCAATATTACTTCACTGTAAGATCCTTTGATGTGAATGTACTGAAACTTTCGTGGACAGTGGGTCCAAAAACCTCTATGAGCGAATTTCAGCCGAAACTTGCGGTGAGATCGAGGACGATGAACGAGAAATTATCGAATGACGCGACCTCCTTGGTTTGTCCATAAAGGTCGTTTTTCTTACTGGTTACCAAAATCACATTTGATTTGCAAGATAGTTTTTTTACTGTGGGTTACGGTAGATAGGATTCAGGTAAATGTAGATTCCCCAAAGTTGCTAGCCGTTTTCGCCTTTACATTAAAAACTATTCGGCGTTAACTTGATCAAAAAAACTCGGAAAGCTGCTCTACCCGATGATGCCCATGAAGACTTTCTACTTGTAGGAAGACTTGCGTTGCGCCCTAATAAAAACCGTTCGCAGAGCTAAATGAAGAAGTCAGATCAGAGCGGAACTTAACGCTAGTATTCCGAATAGCATGCAAATCATAGTACTGATGCCATTTAAGCTTCAAGGTGTCGCAGCAGGCTTGTGGAGCATAAATTGCTTATGGGACCATGCAAATCTATTCTCTCGGGTTGCATAGGAGCATGCAGATAATTCTCTGTTGAAGCTGACATATGGGCACAAGTCTACCGAGGGATATTTCTTGAAGCTCTTCATGTACAATATGCGCTGCGCAGTGGCGTGTCCAGAATTTTCGTTCGGGGGGGGGGAGGAAGGGGGACAAAAATTTTTTTTCGGATGAAGGTGCGTGGCGTCAGCCACGCTATACCGTCAAGAAAACACAAGGAAAGGGAAAAGATGAGTGCCGAATGAAGAAGGAAAGAGTCTAACAAGACAGCTAATTAGACATTGAGAAAAGAGCCCCACTAGACAGCAAAGTATTGAGGAAAAAGCCGCACAAGACAGCTTTATCTCATTATAAAGAGTTTTTTAACTTTGGCGATTGTCAGGGATCCAGTCGTCTCATGATAGTAGAATAATATATAGGCCCGTAGTAAATCCCACTTCACTCCAGATGATCTCAACTGAGGGGCTGAGTTGAGGTATTTAAGATAAACTGACTAGCGGCCACTCTCACATGCTTAAGAATGCGACATGATCTGAAGGGTTAGCGTCAGGGCATGTGCCGCGATGAATAACCTGAAATTTGTAAAAGCAGCCTCGATTTTGAGATGAATTCGAAATAGTGTGCAAGGGAGGAGACGCAGAGAAAAATCCCGTAAGTTGCTAGTGAGTAACTTATGAGGCATCT